ATTTTATAATTGACAAATTGATGCTTCTTAATCACCCAGCATCAATTTGAGGGGGATGTCAATGGGATTATTCAACTTAATGAGATTTGATTGACCTTCCTACAATAGAATATTTGATTGAATATAATTAGGCTATTCCTAATATAGCTAATTTAAATTGTACATTACCATATTTAGAGGCTATAAATTTCTTTATTTAAAGGAATGATAAAGCCACAATCAAGGCATTGATTGGAATACCATTCTGTCAACTAGCACAATGACTTGCCTCTTATTAAGGTTATGAAGACAGTTTGCCTCGAGGAGATTGTTTACCAATGCAACAATCCAATTAGACACGTGCTAATGTTGATAGTCGCACCATTGAAGGCACGACAACCTACTCTAAGAAAATGGTCCCATAAGGCAACAATAAGATAACATGTAGCTTGTTAGACCTATGTCATGAAGTGTAAGAGTAGTGCGCCAAAAAATGATGTGTGTTGATACGAACACAACATCCTAGTAGGAGACATATGATTTAACAATTTTTAGGATTTTAATATTAATTATTTTATTTTATTTTATTACTATTTAGCTAATAGGATTCCTAATTTATTGTGAATATTTATTTTTTCTTTTTATATCATTGTTTCTTTTCTCATAGCCTATTGAGAATAGGAGATTACCTTTTGTCTATAGTAAGAGGAGAGCTATGTTTGCTTCATAATCGCCTAACTCATTGCGTACTAGTTATTTTATTAATTCTTAAGCTTTACTTTTCACTTGTTTTTAGAAGATTTCGTTGCTTCGCAACTAGGGGCCGTGAAGGCATCAAAACATTAAATGGAGCACAGGTGCTATATTTCGCAAAGGCTGGAGTTCCACCCATAATTTCCCATACTCACTTTAGGTCATGTCCCACCTTGTATTTTCTCTAGAGTTGTAAATTATCTACGTTCATCTACAGTTGGACTCTAAGGAGTTAACATCGAACCGGACCCATAGTAAAGAGGTGCTAGTCGAGCCAAGTGGGGAGTCCCGGGTAGGGACTAAAGCAATAAAAGTAGGATCTCCAACTAAGGTAGGGAGTCGAGTATGTTGAATCTGGAGTCAGAGATTCTCAATGCGATGAAAGACAATTGTCCCACGACTAAGGGTGCGTTAGACAAGAATCCAGTAGAGGGGTTAGTGTTGGCAATGGAACAAGAGATCAGAATGGTATTGGTGGAAAACCCAGCTTCGGTAATTGAAAAATAGCAAAAGGCGACAGGCTCTGCAACTATGGTAATGAACACCTACACAAGGAGATATTTGAAACCTACAAAAGAGGGAAATTCGAGGAATGATAAAGCTTTGGTGGTTTGGGTTGATGGCGCCGATAAAGGGGTATATGCAGTGATGCAGTACACATTGAGGAAGAGGAGGGACACTACTATGATCCTCCATATGATGAGGAGATAGCGAATGGCAAGGTGCGTGACATTTAACCACCTTCGAAATGGGTTCTTCAAAAAATTCTTGAATTCAACAAGATGGTGTGTGCATCTTGTGATGGGTACGAAAATAAACTACTACAATTATTTGAGGAGCTGGAGGTTAGTGAGGGATAGGGGATGGGTACACCAGGAGGTAAGACACGAAGAAAGGGTGACTATGAACTTAAGTGGCTCTCGAATACTCGGTTAATTATGACATCAAAGGAGGCGAGTCAAGGAGAGGGATGATGGAGCGTTAAGATAATCCCAAAAATAGTTAGTTGGAAAGTGAGGGAGCTCAATGAAGCCCAGAAAAGCTTAGGCGTTCGAAATCTCATAAGGAGTTGGAGGGCTGATCTTATATACTTACAAGAAACAAAGTTAGAGGTCGTTTCAAGGGCTATTGTAACTAGCCTAAGGGGGACAACAAGTATCATCTTGAGGTCATCGGAGGCTTCGGGAGGTGTGCTAGTCATGCAGGACACTAGAGTTTTTTATATGGAGGAGGTTAGTGAAGGGATATTTTCTCTTGCTCTTTCGTTTAAAAATACTAGGAATGGATTTCGATGGATGTTTATAGGAGTTTATGGGCCTAATGTTGATGATAGTAGAGGTGGATTGTGAGATAAGTTAGCTGGTATGATGGCTTGGTGGAATCTTCCAACGTGTATTGGAGGAGATTTTAATGTGAATTGATTTCCTACTGAGAGGTCTACTGGTGGGAGATTAACATGGGCTATAGAGGACTTCTCAAATTTTATCAGGGAGAACATGTTGGTACATGTGTCTATGATTGGAGAAGATTTTTCTTGGTCATCTAATTGGATCAACTTGTCTTGTCTCAAATAGATCGATTGTTGTTATGCAGAGAGTCAGAGGCTAAGTACCCAGAGGTCACTTAGAGGAGATTAAGGAGGGTATATTCAGATCATTTTCCTATTTCGTTATCTGGGAATGTGAGGTGCACTGAAAGAAAGCCTTTTAAGTTTAAGAAGATGTGGCTAAAAGTAGAAGGTTTTGTAGAGCGAGTACGAACATGGTGAACATCGTATGACTTCGGGGGGGGG